TGAAGCAATGACTTGGCATTTTTCAGTATTTTCATAATATTTCATGAAATTAAAAGCTACATAGGATACAATATACATGTCATTGGCTTCCGGCCTCATCTCATACATGTCAAATATATATCGTAAAAGGTGTAATTATGTACACGTTACATATATGGAATCAAAGATACAAGTTTTGACATATAAGGCTTAAAAATGACATTTCAAACTAACATTTGTATGAAATGAAAATTTAAAAGTTACAAGTCATCCAAGGAATGATGTGCATCTCGAACCAAGGTATCTGTACCTGAAAAATAACCCAGTAACTTCGGGGTGAGTAAACAAGTTACTCGTAGGGAATGTGCATGCATAGACCTAGCATTTTACAAAATTATCACCTTAAAGTGAAACAAGTCAAAGGGGCTCATGCCATCTAACGTCTATGTCAAAATGAGACTCAGGGAGCATCCTAAGTTACCTTAGAGTATTTCTAGCATAAATCATATCATTTATACAATTTAAACAACATACGAGCAAGGGCGGCTCAATGAAACTAGGAGCCTTAGGCAAAAAATAAAAAGTAGCCCTTTTTATATCATAATATGCAATATATTGATTATTAAATAATAATTAATTAATTAATTTTTTTTTTTTTGCTTTTTGAGATGCAAACTTACTAATTTAATTCTTATATAGGTGTAGTTAAAATATATTTTTCAATAGACAATATAGCCAATCCATTTAATATTTCTTGTGACATAGTTGATTGTAGATATAATTTTATTGTGAATAAGTCACTGATATTTTTTTTCTTTCATTATTGTATGATCTTTTAATTATTTTAGATGATTTGATTGTTCATTTGCCGAACTTTCATCTAAATTTTTTGTTAGGTTTTGATTATTAGTTGTAACAAATTTATCAATAACTCTGTTTTGAAATTGAGTTAGTTTATCTATTATTCTTTCTTTTTTTAAAAGAAAAGTTTTTCAAATTTGGATTCATACTTTCTAGCATACATATTAAAAAATATGGGTAAAAATAGTCACAAGACTCACAACTCTTAAACAAATATACAAATATGTGAAAAATATAAATATATACAAATTTATAATAACAAAAGTTAGTAAAACTAAAAAATAATTAAAGAAAAAATAACAATATAACCTAATTTAGAAAGCCAATTCTTTAATAAAAGAAAAATGTGTTCAAATTGAGGTTTGAGACTAATGAATATTGAGTCGAAAAGAAAGAAAATTGTAAAGTTGTAATGAGAGAGGACTGAGAAAGGAGATGTCTTGTAAGTAAGTTGTTGAGATGGCTAAGAGACGAGAGAAATCAGAATGAACGTGAGGATTAGGAATAAGAAAAAATAATAATAATAATAAAATAAAAATCTAGAAAAGATAATATGGAAAGTTTCGTGTATAAGATAGACAAAGAAAAAAAAATATTAATGAGATATTTTAGGAGATAAATAAAAAAAAATGAGATATTTTATGAGATAAATAATTTATCTCTTCATTAAAGTTTAATGAAAAGGCGTGAATATAAGGAGAGAGAAAACAAAAAAAAAGAAGAGTTATTTTATGATATAAATTTTTTAGAATTAGTATTCAATAAGGAAACAAATACTGCAATATATCATATACAAAGCAACTATAATATTTTAGGGCTTTTTTATTGACCGGGTCCTTAGGCGGCTGCCTAACTCGCCTAAGGCTCGAGCTGCCCCTGCATAAGAACACGTGGAAGATATTCAATATACAAGTATACAATCAATATTGAAATGTACTTAAGACAAGTATACAAGACACAAATATACTAGGTTATCTAGAAAGTAAATAATCAATATGCAAGTGTACATACCAAGTACGCTAAACAATATTGAAATATAATACAACATATATATTCAAGTATACATTTCTAAGTATACTAAGCAATATTGACATACATGGCATACAAATATACAAATCCAAGTATACAAAGCATTTTTTAGACACAAGGCGCACAAGCATACAAATACAAGTATACTAAGTAATAAATGAAGTACCATGCGTCCAAGCATAAGTTAAAAGTAATTCACAATTACAACTAGGAATTGAATGCGAAATCAACCAATGGCGAAAAGACAAATGACATATGGTCTCAATGACCAAATAAGTGATCTCGGGTTACTAGTCCGCAAGGAACTACCTAGTGCGCATTATATGTTATAGAGGGAACTTTCATCCCCCGTATTAGAGACACACTCTAGCCTTAACATATTACAATTTTCATGCAAGTTTTCAAAAAATTATCAAGTTGTGCAACAAGTATATCACATATACACAATGCATATTGTCAATTACCATGCATAACTAAGTCATGGAATACACACAAGATATGCTATAGGCCTTCAAGCTACAATGACATATTAAATGTCATATAAGTATAATATGTATACAACAAGTTAAATCATAACTTTTACTTATGGAATACCATTTTGTAATCATACACCAAGTTACAAATTATAAGTTAAGCAATAATACAACATAAATACTTAGATACTTAAATGAAAGCATATAAATGGAACTTAATTAAATTAAATAATTAAATTATCAAGATTATAAAGCAAGTCCAAAAATTATAAATATATTACACGTCAAAGGTCATAGCAAAACCTAATTTAATTTTAAGTTACAAGTCAATTCTACCTTAGTTACAACAAGATAAATTAAGATCAATGCCAAGAAAATAATTAAATAAATTTCTCAAAACTCATTCAAATATTCTCTATTTAATATATATGAGAGAACATGTCAATACATTGTTTAAAATCAAGTTGCAAGTTAATTCTACACTAGGTACAACTAAGTGAATTAAATTTCATACAATAAAATAATTAAATAAAGTTTTTCAAACTCATTCAAATATTCCCAATTTAATATATGTTAAAGAACATACTATATTCATTACATATATCAAGTCAAATGTTAATTTAAGTGAATGTAACACTTGAATAAAAATTAATTAAACTAACTAATTAATTTCTCTATAATTTAAATCAATTGTAAATGACTCCAAATAATTATATGCCAATGGTACTATCATAGTAATCACATATATCAACCAAAAAAACTTAATTAAGTACGTGGAGCAATTAAATAGAAATTAATTAATTTTAAGTAATTAAATCTCTAGATTCTAAAACAACTTCAAATGATTTTATACTAATACAAGTTATAGATCAAGTCATGGCCTTCAAAAATACTATGTCCTAACTTAATTTCATGCAAGGTACTGTAACTTAGTAATTTAAAAATTAAGTACAAGACATGTAAATAAATTATTGCAACCTATAAAAACCATTAAAACACTTAGATTAAAAACCTAAATCACCCCTTACCTCACAAGGGGATTGTTCTTCTTGAATTCAAAGCAAACAAATGAATTTTTGAATTTCCTTAAAGGGTTATGTAAAGGAAGGTGAGGCAAGTGTTTTGTGTTCCAAGTTTTTAGGTTTAAGGTGAGTGGAAGGAGATCAAAACCAAGGTTTTAAGCCTAGGTTAATGGTTTCCTTCAATGGTGGTTAAGGTTCTAAGTGAGGAAGAAGAAGTTTAATGTGTAAAATGAAATAATTAAAACACTTTAGTGTATTCCTCCACTTACTTGGTCAATGGAAATCAAACACACCTAGTCTTGCACTATCCCCTCACACACACAAAAGCTAGACTTTAATTAGAAGCCTACACTTGTCATTAATACAATGGTTCATTTTAGGCTTAATCTAAAGCCTACACTTGTCAACAATCCAAGCCAACAAGTGCACCAATGCTAGGCCAACAAGTGAGTGAATCTCCATTCTCCACGTGTCATCATTCAAGGCTTCAAAGTGTGAACCAATGAGATGCTTACAAATGGATCAATGAGAATGCGACACTTGTCACACTTTTTCGGTAATTACAAAAAGGTCATTTTTGAAAATATCTACCAAAATAAATTGCAAAAAGGTCCATAAGAAATAAAATAATTACTTTATATAATTACGAAAAAATCTCAAAAACAAATAATATTTCTGAAGAAACTATGCATCCATGCTCGTTTACGTAAAAGTAAACAACTAGCATACTTTTATAGAAAAAATAAAAATACACAAAGCGTGTAATTTAAATATCATGGATGCATGCAAAATCATAATCAATTATGAGCAAAAAAAGTGAGGTTACGTGAATAAAATCAATCCCGGGAAAAAGACGAAAAGTGAATAGTATCAAAAAAAAAAAAAAAAATGGAAATGACTCGATCCTTAAAGGAAGTTGTCAATCCAGTTTCGGAAACTATTTCCGAGCACTCTAGACGACACTAAGTGATGAGTAATCGAACTCAGAAAAGAAAATTTAACAAAAAAAATTTATTCGTAAAATTTCAGAAAAAAAAAAAATAAAGGAAAAATACGGGTTGTTACAAAACCTCAGGGTTTTAGTGTACTTTACCCAAAATAAAAATAAAAAAATATAAAACCAAGTATTTTTGACCAATTATTTAAGTTTGGTAACTATTTATGTTTTTGAGTTTAAGGTCTTGTAAAGTAATTTTTTTAATTTTGATCACCAAAATTTAATTTTTTATTTTTCAAAACAAATTTGCAAAATATTAGTAAATGATGGATTTATTGGTCACGAGCGCAGTTAAAGGTTATGCATGATGCGCCACAACTAGTGCACTAAGGCTTAAGCGTTTAATTAAGGGCCGGCAATTTAAGCCCAAATCTATCAAACCGTCCAAACTCATTCATTAAAATTAAATTATTTAGATACTCAAATTAAAGTGAGTGAATCACTAATGAGTAAAAAATAAGTACTAATTCAGTTCAAGAGTTACGGTGCCTTAAGAGTGAATGGGCACTCCAACCCACCCTTTCCAAAATCAAATTAGTCTCCTCCATTTTTTTCCTCTCTTATCTCGTCTATCCTTCCTCTCCCTCTCTCTACCGTTTTATTTATTTATTTATGACCCACTATTGACGGATTATGTATCGACTCATTCTTCACCCAAAACCCGTCCAAACCCACCCATTTGCCCCTATACCCTACCTCGAGTTGTTTCCCGCCAAAAGAAGAGGGAGAAGAATAAAAGGAATCGTGGTCCTAGTGGAGCCGAGTAAGAAGCCCTAATCTCAATGGCGAACTCCGCAGTCGCTGAAGCGCCAACGACTGAAAATGCAGACAACAATCTCCTTCAGGTTCTTCCTAAGAGCTATTCCATTTTGCTGCTTTTGCAACACACATATATACGCACACCCTGATTGAAATCATACAGGATAACAACATTAACAAATAAACGTCGAATTGAAATATGCTAAATCCTCATTTCTACGACTTGGATAGTTCTTGTATTTTCTGTTGACTTTTTCTCGGCAACCAAACAGACAACTAATAGAATCAGTGCTAATTGTTTTGCAGCCCTTCTTCGTTCTTCACAAAGCGTCATCAAAAAAATCAACTGGAAAAACCAGAAGAAGGATAGACTTATCTCGATGTTCGTCTAAAATTTCCCACAAATTGGAGGCGGAGACGGCAGAAGAAGAATATGATGATAGTCGCCGTGAGCAATTGCGAACCGAAACTTTCAATTATGTGTGGTCCAAAATCGAGTCAACAATCAAGGTTCAACTCTCTTATATTGTTAATTAATTTATTGTCTTTGCTCCGTTCATTTGGTACATAAGACGAAATATATATATATGTGTGTGTGTGTGTGTGTGTTTTGGGACTCTACTTGGAACTGAGGAAGCCAAGAAATCACTCAGTGTGCCATATATGACGATATTTGGCCTAACTAAGCAGAGTTGCCCTAATTTGATCACAAGAACTACAGAGTATCAATGTAAACAAATGAACTTTGTCTCTTCCTAATTGCAGGATGTTTTAAGGAATATCAATGTTGATGTATTCAATGATATACATCAATGGGTTGACGAGTCATTCACTGCAATTCGTTCACGTGGAATGTCCCATCACAGCAAGGCCACTCCATCGTATCCCATTGTAACTGATGCTACATGTAGGCAAATTGCAACTGGGTTGGTCTTCACCAGTAAGTTGTTGCTGTTGGATATATATTTTTTTTTTTTGTAATTTAATTTAAGTTTTTTCAATTACGATTCAGAATTTCATAGAGTAAATTCCAGAGCTTTTCAAATGGAGAGAGAAATTCAGTCCCTTCAGGGTTCTTCAGTTTCTCTCTCTCTCTCTCTCTCTATATATATATATAACATGGTTGCATATATTCACAAAGGAATGCTGAACATATTGTTTTGGGTTTTTAGTCCACCAGTTTACTTCTACCTTTCTTTTTTTGTTGTTTAGTTTTGACATTGGAATTCTTATTTGATCAATGATTTGCAGAGACTATGGAATTTGTGGATGATCTGTTGACATTTGAGGACCTTGGTCTGCATCTGAAGTCTCATGGATGCCATGTGGCTAACCTTTCCTCATTGGACTTCTCTGCCAAGAATGGGATTGGTGGATGTCTCAGAGGTTTACTGAGACAGTTTCTAATGGTTAACTTGGATGTAAGTAATGCCAACGGTTCTTTATATAAATTAAACTTGCTTCTTTAGGTGAAGTGCATTCGCGAAATCATACTTGTTCTCAATGCTGTTTTCTTGCAGGCAGCCGATATATCTGTCTTAGCATCATGGTACAGTGAACAGGGAAACTACGAGAATCCAATAGTCGTGATTATTGATGATATGGAAAGGTGCTGCGGGTCTGTCTTGTCTGACTTCATCCTTACGTTGAGGTATTGTGGTTCCTTAACATTGCTGGTTGCTATTATTTTTCCCATTAGCTATCCCCCAACATTTGAATGTGTGGCACTAGTCAATTCTTGTTAAATGCGTCAACTATCTAAGTAGACTGTGTTGCCGCCAAATTTAAATTCTGCTAAGTGTTTTTTTAGAATGAGTCTGAAGTTTTCAATTATATGATGTTTCTTAAGGCCAACAAATTAAATCTTTCATCTGACCTCAGTAAAGATTTGCTATTACATGTACAACTCAATTCATAGGATCCAATAATGTCCTGTCTAAAGATTTTTGAAGTTCCTACTTGGTATAACACAGCTACAATATCCTCATCAGATATTATCTAAATCGTTTTGAAACTCATTAATAGAGCTACATGACATCCATCCATTTGATAGTTGGAGTTTAATTGTCCTTGATCAATCGTGCATTGTTGTGAGATCCGTTGGCAGTTTGTACACACATCTCTATGTTACAATTGTGTATTATGTTTAAAGTGAATCTACGACCCATAGACATGATCAAGGTTTAGATGAATGCATCCCATATGTACAAAAGCTCTTCCGAATTTTGAATTGGACCATCTTTACCTCATAATTAAAATTTTTAGTTATCTATTTGATCCCCATTGTCTATGACAACGCCTCCTTTCATTTTTTTATTTTTTTTTCTCCCCAAATTAATCTTGAGAGTCCTGCACGTTTTTCATACGTAGAGGTGCAAAAGCTACCTCAACTCGTGTCGGAACTTCCTTCACTTTCAATGGTTAGGATTGAGGGCTGGCTCAAGCTAGGTCTCCCTTGATAAAAAGTAAAACACAAGTTTTTGATAACAGTAGCCTAGGTTGATTAACTTGCTAGAAAGGATCATTCAACCAATATAATGGACCATAATATCGAAACATTACAACTCAACTCTAACCAAATCAGCTAAATTTAACAATTCTTTTATTTTATATAAAAGGAGGTTGCTACTCATATTGTTCTTTGCCATTTAGTCTTATAAATGGCCATATTCTTTGATAAACAATTGTGGATCAGGTCTGTTCTCTACAATAATTATTTGATAGGTGACCCTAATCTCTCTCTCTCTCTATATATATACACACACACACATATATATATATATATTTATATTGCTCTCTATACAAGGATTTTACAAATAGTTGATTTATGTTATATTTAGTTTTTATATATTTCATGCCACTTTGGCCTATTAGTGCTCACAGCTTTGATGTTAACAGTGAATGGGTAGTTAAGATTCCAATGATCTTGATACTGGGAGTTGCAACCACTTTTGATGCCTCAACAAGCATACTTCCTTCTAATGCACTACAGTACTTGTCCTCTCGTAAGTTCATTTTGGGATCCCCGGCTGAGAGAATGGATGCAATCATTGAGGCTGTTCTTGTGAAACAATGTTCTGGGTTCAGTTTAGGCCACAAGGTGGCAGTTTTTCTGAGAAACTACTTCTTAAGACATGATGGAACATTGACCTCATTTATAAAAGCTTTAAAGGTTGGTATTCCACTCTGAGTGTTTTATGACTATTGTTGTCAGTTATCTGTACTTGTTAAATCAGCTTGATTTGTTAATTGCTAAATTTGTTGGAATAACAAATGTTTTCCAGATAGCAGTTGCCCAACATATTTGTTCAGAACCTCTAAGTTCCGTACTCAGTGGGTCACTTAGTGAAGAAGACAGCCAGGTTAAATTTCCCTCCTCTGTATGATCTTTTAGTAATTCTCTTTTTTGGTTGTGCTGTTTAGATGTTTTGTATACTAGTTCAAATCGGTCTTTGTTTCTATAATGTTACGTCATAAATCAAATTGTCAAGCATTTTTACTCTGGTTCATCATTCAGGCATTGAGAAATCATCTAATTCTGATGGCATGAAAATAATAATTTTTTATTTATTTTTGGTTACATTATAAAAGAATACTGCATTTTCCACATATTTTCTTTTTATTGACTGCCTGAAGAAAGCAGCGTTGCTCATCAGGGAACTCACCTCTTTGCTTATGGTGTTGAGGATTAGGCTTTAACCGCACATAAATTGAGGTGCATAATAAGGAGCTAATTAGGTTATAGTAATTTCCTTCAATTTTTTCAATGTACATGACTAAACCAATTTCATATCTAAATCTATATCTATATATACACAAATACATGTAAATGTGCTTCTGCTTTGATAATTGTACAATTCTTTTACTACTTTAAATGGCACGGCGGCTTGCAGGCCGTTGGGAGCAATTTTCTTTTTAAAATGTTACATATACTCAAGGAGATTATAACTTGACTTTCTTTCCTCATGGTTTCCTTGCCCGGTTGATTTTTAATGATTACAGGGTTTTTGGAGCAAAAAACATGTAATGTTGCCAGAAATAATGCTCAAGCAGGCATTTGATCTTCCATCTTGCAGGAGGTACATAAAATATCGATCAATGTTGCAATTGTTATATTTCTCCAAATGACCAATACATGCTGCTCTTATGAGGATGATTTTCTGATTTAGAATGCAAAATCTGTCATAAGGAATAAACTGGATGAACCAAATGCTGAAATTTGGGCTCATGGTTTGTCAGAATTGAAGAGATTGCAGAGATTATGGAGCTCTTTGGTTTTGGTGAGGCCTTAAAATCTTTAGTTTTCATTGTTTGTCAACATAGGTTACAACATGTGGCCCAAAATAAACAAAACATGTTTCTCCTTATTCCTTAACTACCTTGTGTCTTTCATTGTAAAAGTAATTAGAGCTCTTATGTTAACTAAAGCTCTTATTATAAAAGCTTTAATATAAAAGAACATAAAAACTTGTTTAGTAGCTCTACTGAATAATAATGTTAAGATTGGTCTGGTGGCCGCTGCATCAATATTATTTTATGAAAAAAAAAAAAAAATTGAGTGGAGGAAACTAGCCCCATAATTTCTTTCTTCCATTGTTTTCCATCCCATGCCATGTCTCCTTATTTGTCTATTTCATTAATGTATTATCTTACTCTTCATCCCAATTTAGTTTAGTTTGCCTCTTTTGTCTCTTACCTTCTATTTCAACTAGTCTTTTTATTTTTTATTTTTATGCATCTATTTCTCTACATTGTATATATCCATACCACGATTACCACCTAGACCTACTTTTTCTTATTTATTACTAATAATGCCTAATATTTTGCTCTGCATTAGATAACTAGCCTGACGAAAATCCTGTAGAAAATTTCTTTTTAACCTCCTAGTCCTAGATATTCTCTTATTAGATAGGATATCACTATCTTGTCTCCATTTTGCCAAACCAATTCCAATCCTACTTATTACATCGTCATCGATCTCACCTATATGATATTACATAGAATTCCGCAGTTCTAAAGCTGATAGGCCAAACTTGTTGAAGCAATACTGGTAAATTTTTGGCATGTCATAAAAAAATGGGGGTGCTGAAGGGGTTCAAATCTTATTGTTTGGCTTAGAAAGCTAATGATGCCTAATCCAATTGTTGGTTTTAAAAGTATCAAAACTTTTTGTTCAATTGAAGATGATAGTTTGATACAATAAGACCTGTATTACTTACACCTATAAAATAAAGTGGATCATCTTGCTATGCACATTTTCTTTCTTTTCTTATGCCACATCTGTTTAGGATTCTTTTTGTGCGCGCGCGTGAGTGATGTACATTTACTGCTTCCCTGTATAATTGTTAACTGTTCATATTTTTCTGCTCAACATTTTTTCTTCTTGAAAAAAAATGAAGTATAGGTCAAACAATGTTTACCAAGCTCTAAATGTCAGACAACCACTTGCCCTAAATGTTTAAATTGTTAGAGAATATGTCAAACAATGTTTACCAAGCTCTCACCTGTAAAGAGACTCCACTAGACAATAAAGCAGTTGAAGATCCGTAGAAAGACTCCACTGAGATAGACAAATGCACAGCCGTCCATTAAAATACAAAACTCAGAAATTCATACTTTGATATGACATAAAAGTTTCTCATCCTTAGAAGTCCCTTTTTCTTTTTCCAGACACCCACTCACCCTAGACCATTCGAACATTAGAGAAACTCCAAAATCAAACAAACACGACCTTCACCACCCCAAAAAAGAGAAGGAAAGGTCCGTATTTCTCTTGCAATTAAACAATGAAGTGATGTATGATCAACTCAAAATTATTAGAAAGAGCTTCTGGAGGTTTAAATTATGTGTTACTTCTCTTAATTCTCATATATTTTCATTATCAGTTTTATACCTTTTTCTTGTGCGTTTTTAAAGAATTATTTAGTGCACAAATATTATTAGGTCTTATCCTTTTCATTTTGTAGAATCTTATGATTCTTGATCTGATCCTACGGTCCGACCTATCTTGAGGCCCCAAATTGATCCTATGTAGAATCCCATTTTGTTAACCTTGGTAGGCAGTATAAAACTATTATACTTTTTACACAGTAGTCAGTGGTGAAGCAAGCTTATGGATAAATGCGAAGAGCTTTTGGTTGCATATGGTAATCAGACAATCAAATTTTCATTAACACAGGTGTTAAAAACAATTAATTGCGTGACAGGTTTAAAAATGGGATACTAGTTTTTTTTATTTGCTGATGTGAGGAAGATAAAACTTTATAAATAGTTTTTAAGCAGTGATTCCCTTTGGTCATCTTAAAAGAAGAGACTGTTTTGAGCTTTATTTGCCTGTTGATATGACAATCTGTGTTGTCATCTGTCAACACAGAAGAAAAGGTTGGATATGCCATGTCTTTTGAGTATGTTATTCCCAATTTCTTACCAATTGCAGTTGCTGGACCTTGTATTATTAATTTTGTTTTCAATCAAAACTTTGAAAACAATGAACATGTTACATATAAAAAGGCACTGTGTAATGGATTTTTAGATATTTAATGTGTTATATTATTGTCATGGTTATGGTTGAAGCTGGAAATGTTGCTGTATCCTTATTTACTTGGTTTTAATAAATAGGCAATTAGAATTTTATTCCATGCCTTCTGCCAATAAGACTTTTTTAGACTTCAATTCAAGCCTTACTATTTTTGGTTATTATGTAACCTCTGGGTTGCAACTTATTGCTTCCACCAACCTCTTCCCGTGGAGTTGATTATTGTTGTTGTCATGTTTATATACTGATCAAGCAATTTTTTTAAAAAAAATTCACGGAAAAGTATTTATTTTTGTTGACTGCTTTTTTTGGTTGCAGTGCCTATACGAAGCTGGAAAGTATCATAAAGTTAACTTGTTAGATTTATATTGTGAGGTCCTTGATCCACAGCTATATGATTCAAGTGCTTCTGATAATCACTTGGGATTAGGAAAAATATTTAGAATGTCTTCAAGTGGTCGCTGTGTGCATGGACAGTATCCTCCTAGCTTGGAGAAAGGTGGTTTAATCTGTCAGGCGATACGCAAGGTAAGGTAGGTAAATCGATATTTATTTGAGTTACAAATTAAATCTCCTTTGATCCAAGCAACAAAGATCTCTGGGACTGTATCATATAGTATATTGACCTTGGTCCTTTTTGTTGGGTAATGTATGCACATCTTTTTGCAAGTTGCTAAGCCTTGCAACTAGCCATTTTAAACTGCAGTGTCACAGAAAAGAGGTACCTTCACTAGTCTTAGAGGGATAGTATTTTGTACATCTTCTCTGAGGTGTTTATTAATTGCAATTGGTTACTGAGCTTCTCCCACTCTACTGTTTTATAAGTTTTAAGCCTCTCTTCTCCCTATCATCTAGTCTTGGGGAAAGGGCTGAGGATGACCTCACTTATTTCTCAGCCCTTGGATATCTTATCCTAGGTTGACACATGGCCTGTATCGAGGCTAGTGAACCCTTGTGCACCTTCTAGACATTACACACTCACTTTTTGCAGGCTCTATATGGTCTTATACTAGGATGGTAGCACCTAGAGGCCTAGAGGGAGAGAGCAAGAGTGGCTGTTTCGTAAAAAGAGGCTTATAAGCATATTGAGATCGTTGATTCACTTACGCATGCATTTTCATGTAAATAAAATTTAGGACCCTTAAAAATAATATATGATGGACAATTTTAAGCAACCCAGTCTTTGGTTGAACTGTATGGGCCTTTACAGTGATTCAGCTATATGGTCCCACAATTGATTTTTGACGCCAGCAAAAATTAAATTTTGAATTATCTGCCCTACTAAGAATGGATCAAGTGTTCCCATTCATGGTCAAATGGTCAAAACTGTGGATTGAAGGAAAAGATTTTAAAATGCAGATTAAGAGGAAATTTGCTAAACCACATATTGGTTTAGCTATCTGCATTCCTGAAGTCTGGATTTGGTATCCTAGGCCTTGTATGGATTTTTGTATAATTGCAATTTTTTCTGGAGTTCTGGCTCATCAGTTTGTCAATTGCCATTATCATTAGTCATGTGGCCTGATAATATGATTTACCATTTTTCTCTTCATTTTTTGTTTTGTTTGTTTGCTTGTTTTTCTTTTCTTTTCTTCTTCTTCTTCTTCAAAAAAAAATAAAAAAATAAAAAAAAAAAATTGAATACTTCTTGTATAACAGTATTGTAAAATTTAATTTAACTTGGTCCAATCATTAAAGTAGATTGTAAATCTTGAGTATGCTCAACTGCCACTATGTATACGTGTTAGTTATCTGAACAAGTCATAGATAGGGTGGACGATGATCTACAATATGTTATTACAACAATGATGTATTGAGATTATTTAATACTTTGCGGAGCCATTTGTTTGTTCAATTATTTCATTGATGCTTGAAGTAAAGTTGATGAAATATTGTCATCTTAAACTATAAGGGAACATTTTATATATTAGTAAGTTCAGTTTCTTTTGTATGCATTCACTAGAATACTAAATTGTAGTTTAATCAGGGATTTACCAGCAGCACGATTATGCCAGTTGCTCAAGAGTTGGGAAAATCATACAGAGGGAATAAATGAGGTATCAGTTCTGTTTGTGAAAGGTTATTTGAAGCTTTTTATTTTTATTTTCTAAGTAATTAATTTATTACTTTTATTTTTTTGTGATTTGTTTAGGGTTTCTTTACTTTTGTCATTTCCTTGTCTTAAAGTTGGAAATCAGAGTCTTTTGGAGAGCATGGATATCATTAAGGCCAAAACTGTTAGTTTATGCATACGCATTGAGGTCTAATATCTTCGATTTCAATGATCTGTAGAAACGGTAATAGCTTATTCTCTTGCCTCTCCTATGAGTTCGTGTTCTACAAACCAGTAGCTTAGGATACCAGGCTATTATTATCGTGAATGGGATACCTGGTTGTCATGGAGCCAATTTAGCGTTTCAGCCATGAAATTTTTATGGTTATGACTTGACAAGGTATGTAATTGTCATAAATTGAAGTGTCGTTTCTAAACTTCCAATCTGGTATAGTTTGGCTGCCAAAGGACTTGGTATCAGTGATACAACTTGATCTTGATTGATATGCTACCGATACTCAAAAATAACAAATAAACAAGTTGACTATTTTTTTTGAAAAATAAACAATTGTTTGAAATCCATATTATAGCTTCAATATTGTCTATCTAAATATGTTATTTCTGTGTCCTCATTCTGCTTGCCAATTATAGCTTCAATATTGTCTATCATTACTGAAGGCAAAATAAGAGAAGATAATTTGGAGGATAACCAAATGTACAGAGAAGACTTCAAAGAAGACTTTGTTAAAGCTATTGACCAAAGTAGTTGGAATAAATCCATAGGATTGATGGATCCTCTCATTTTAGGGACCAACATAATGGAAGAAGAAAGTAGCAACTTCCAAATTCTTAAGATTCCATTCTCATAACATGTGAGCATGGGCTCCGCAAAAATGGTCAAAGCACCATTATCAATGTTGTGTTCAATGGAAATTCCTTATAAATTCTTTTCTTAGGGTCCTAAATCAAGATCTTTCCACAGGGGTATTATAGGGTCAAAAACCAGGGTTTTGGACAGGGGTGCAGGTATTGTATTTCTACGAGAAATCCCCTATGTAAGTTCTCAATGGAACAACTCATGGGAAGGTTTGAAAATTAACTGCAAGTTCGAGATAAGTTTCCTAATTCAAAACTTTTTTTGCACAAGATATTTCTTTCATAACTCTACTTTTACCAGCTTGGCTATACTTCATTTGCATGCTGTACTGAAAATTTATGGCTTAACTACTCAATGCCTGTATAAATTGTGCCTAGAAGTGATCTTTTGTGTGTTTTTGTTTATAATTTTGCTTCCATGTGAACTCTTTATTAGCAGTGCTTGGGTCTATTGCTGGTTTTGCCTTTTAATTAATTAGTTGATGTCTAGTAAAAAATAATGATTTTGAATCACATGTCTGTCTTAGATCCACGAGAAAGTGAGGGAGCTGCAATCTTTGTTGAAATTTGAGGACGGCAAGAGTTTGCAACGAGATTTGAGGGACTTATCCAAGTACTTCTCTATGTTAACTTCGTGTTGCAGTTTTATTGGGTTTCTTGTGCCACACAATATATCGTAAAACCATTTGCTGCATCGATATATAAATTATTGTACTGAATCCTAAAAGTTGAATCAAAAGCTTTTGTTGTTAGAGAGGTGTAACATACCCTCTCACGAGTGGCCAAATTTTGGTTCAACACGGGCGACAGTGAGGTTTGGATTCCAGATCTTGCTTGTTTTGATACCATGTTAACCAATGTCTACTGTAGAAAGGGCTAAGCCAGCACATGAAGCTCCCAGCATTACATGGTCAGATGTATGCAGTCTTACCTCCACATGTAAAGAGGTTGTTTCCTATTTCCAATGGAGCAACCTTACTGTTGCACCAAGGCCCATTCTCTATCATAACAAGTGTAACTAGGCCTAATTTTTAAAATATTATTTACTCATTACTTTCATTAAACTACCTCATGTCTATTGAAATAATAATTCAGAAATTATTTTCCTTGTTAATATCTTTATTTGAAGAAATAGGTGGCTGCGTTTAAGTACAGATGAGATATGATCATGTTTATTGGAGTGTCCTCTTTTACATATTAGATGTGGTGGGTATAATGGAGTGTGAAGGGAGTTGGTTTTGGTTACCAGTTCTTTAATATTGTCCTTTGACTTGGTGGGTGAATGTACTCTCAGTTGGTATAGATCGTTAAGGCAAAATTGTCTCCATCTCCTTTTATTTTGATTTTTCCATTTCTGCTGTGTCTCACTTTTTACTCACTATGTCAATTAAAGTGTTTAAACTTTAAAGTAAAACCAAGTAAGAAAGTACGGTTAGTGCGAAGTGGACCTGTACCTAAATTAGTTAGGATCTTCTAGATTAATATGAAGTTGCTATCTAACATTGAGTTTTAGTATCACAACTCACAAGTCACCTAAACCAAGTGGGACTAAAATGTCATGGATATTACTTGGATTTATAAACACACGCTCTTCCATCACTTATCTATTTTTTTTCTTTTTTTTGAGCATCCTTTATTCTTTTTAATGGAACGTTTTTTTTTGCCTTACCTTTTATGATACCATTACAATAACATTCACAAATTTTGCTAATAAAATTATAGAAGTTTGTGACCTAGACAGCTCTGACCTGGTTGTACCTTCCTTTCTCCATTTTAAATTTGTTCATGTGACAGGAAACATACTACTCGAAACAATTTAAATATCGAAAAGGAAGCAAAAGCACTAAACGAGAAAGCTGCTGCATTGATGGAATGTCTGGTTAGGTAGGGTTGGCATTCTCCTATACCTTATTCTCTGCTCATTTTTGTTGAGATGTTCAACCTTATAAAAGTCCTAGGATGCTACTTCTTCTGAGTTAAAAAATATTGTGCCTCCTACTTTTGGAAATTCGTATTTGATCACTTATTCCACTACTTGCCTTGCTACAACTTTATAATTACTATGCTTTGATGATATATTTGGTACACTTTTCCTCACTTAAAAGTGCTCTAAATTTATGGATATTCTTAGGAAGTATCGACACTTACTGTAAGTATCTGAATGAGTGTCGGTATCCGACATATGGGTACGTCCCCCTTATAGAAGTATGTGCTTTGTAGTATTTCAAACTTAAGCCACCACCTTGAAACAAAAGATTTCGTTTTCATTAGTGCTTATTGTTTATGTTTGTGGGGGTAAAGTCTGTAATAATAAATGTTTCTTCTGAAGTTTTATTAAAGCGAAAACTAAATGTCCCCTTGATTGGCATTTACTAATTTTATTTTTCCCTGTTATTGAATGCTTTCAACTTGTGATTCTTTGATTTTGAAACAGGGACAATCTGCAGCCTATTGAGTGCATACCTTTCCACGAAGTTGTCTGTTTTAAGAACGTAGACAAACTTCAGTCGGTAAGTATTCTGAGAATTATTTTGACTAACATACTTGCATGAGCTTTTGTAGTTACAAAAAAAATAGAAATCAGATGGCAGTCCATTGTATGACAACTTATTATTGTTGAGACAGTGCAGACACTTTTCTCCAAAAAAACTTAATAATCATATTATCACATTCTTTTTTGTAGTTTTATGCATCTATCATTCACATATTAATGTTCCTGAAATACCTTTGTTCTTTGGTTGCAACAATCAAGTTTATACGAACATTATCATGCGTAGCAGTTCTGAAGTTCTTGAAGATATAGTTTGTGTGCTTAAAATTTGGTTTCATTATGTTAGGCTTTGATAGGAGATCCAAGAAGAACAATCCAAGCCGATCTACTGGAGTTTCACAAGTTCCTCAAGTGTAGTTGCTGCAACAAAAGTGGCAACCTTATGTTGCCATCCATGCATGACACCTCAATTATGTAAGTGTTTTCACACTTCTTTTTTCTGATAAATGATGGATATGAACTATAGCATCTGGTTGGCAATGGCCCCAACCCACCACTACGCTATGAATGCAATCCATTTTTCTTTTTCTTTTAAAATTTACATCAAATTTAGTATTGACTTGTTAATGGTGGTAGCTATCATAGGGTAATAATATCTATTGTTTGTACTTTCACTATCACTTAAAAAAAAAACCTTGTTTTACCCTGGTAGGTTTTTGCTGAAAACATAAAATACAGAATGTGGGGAAATTTTTTAATGCAATGCACATCAAATTAAAAGATAAACTACTAGATGATCGAATGATTGAATTGATCCTTCATCAGTACACTCTCGGTAGTGCAATTAATTGTTGTCAGTTGATGATAGTTCGAGTTTCTAGTTTTTCATTTTCACAATATAATGACATAATTATATATGTTTTGTTCTATCTCAATGTCTTGGACTTGTCACTAGCTTAAACTCCCTCCTTCGTTTAGAAAACAATTCCAAATGTGAATCCGTCTAGGTTCTTTTTGGAGGCCACTGCCTAATTCAGTGGTAAAACTTGGACTGTCATGTGCGAGAACACAAGTTTGAGTTTGTATCAAGTTTGTCCTTTAAGCACTCTTGATATGTGGGATCGTATTGGGTTACGTTTTTGAGATGCAATTCAATTGATCTAATATTCAACCCTGATGAATTTGATGAATTGAACATGATAAAGTTTGTGAACTTTCTTTCATGGAGAGTTGTTTATCACTACGGATCCCTAGAGGCCTAGGTCACACAGAATCCTTATTAAAAGCACTGTTAAGTGCTATATTACATAGACTTGGGTATGCATGTTGGGTGCGGTTGTCTGTCTGGAATTCTTTGAAACCTAAATATTAGGGTACGGGGATTAGGCTTGAAATGTGTTCAAAGCTTGGGTATGGGTGCGTGGACACATTTAAACATGTAATATGCTATATATTAGGGTAATATGTGATGTTATTCTTTAAGGATATACTCGATTATAATTTTATTTTTAAATGGATTTTGGTGGAAAAAGGGGATTTCATCTAATCTCAGAAGTATGCGACCATTCTTTGGTAGCAAATTTAAGTTTTTATTATTTATTTATTTATTATTATTATTATTCCTCTTCTTCCATCATCACATATAAGGAATCCGAGTCTAATATGGATTCCTTATATTTAGCATGGATTCTTTGGTAGCAAATTTAAGTTTTTATTATTTATTTATTTATTAAGATTTGTCCAATTAGGATAAGTGTTGGACACATCTCATATCCATGCCCATGTAATGTCGTGTCAATAGGTACCTGAGAGGAATGGGAGAGTTCATGTGACACAGGTTGAGCTTGTTCAAGTGTTATAAATGCAAAAATATTAATCAAATTTTCTTTTTTTCTTTTTTTATTTAAGGCCTCTCTCTGTTTATCTCTATTTTTTAAAAATCTTTCTTCTATTTTGATGATAATGACATTATCAGGCCTTTCACCTGGCCCCATTCCTTTTAGTTTGGTAGAGGATGTAGTGTTATCTTTTTGTCTTGGTATATTTTAGTAGAAATTATAGTTACTGACTGACAGTATTTGTCTAGAATCCTACATTGAAAATGTTCCAACCATATATATCTGCCAAATTCATGTTCTTTTTTCACAAGAAATTTCCAAATATGTTTTTTTTTAATTTATTTATTTATTTATTTTTATCTTTTTATATGCTTCTCTACTGTATGAGTTCTTCAAAAAAACAAAACTTCCAAGTAGGAAATGTCATCCTACCCAAATCTTAGATCCATGGTAGGTGTGGTATATAAGAGAAATTGTGGAATTTACCTCTTGTTTATTTATCTTAAGTTTATTATCTTGATGCACAGGTGGCAGGATTTCTTGCCTCATCTTGTAGACCATCTGGCCTGCATGAATCTTTTTTTTTTGAACAAGAATTAGGTTTTAAAATTATTGCTTGAGCTTTTGGATGTCTGAATTTATAAAATTGGTTTTGGCTGAAAATTATGCACTTACTATATGGTAAATACATGATTTTAATTATGACAATTTAATTTGATGATTATCACATGTATTATCAAGAACTATAATTTTGTATGATCCAGACAAAAAGGTAATTTTATATTCACCAAACTTCAATCAACTTCATTCTAGGTAGATACTTACTATACTAGGCTGTTCTCCAACCTGTAACTGACCCTGCCCTTGTCATTTGTTGCACATATCGTGAAATTTGTTAAATTAGATGCCTCAACCAGTACAAGCAACCAACAAATTTTCAAAAGACACTGTAGCATAGCGGCAAGTGTTTGCATATAGCTGAAACAAGGGGGTTTGGGGATGTATTTTTTTTTTTTTTGAAAGGTATTGGGGGTGTATTCTTACTATCATGAAAAGTGGGGGAAAAAAAAAGAAAAGGAAACAAGATGAGTTCTCAAATCCATGCTAAATATTCTTGTCCGAATCTAATATGGATTCCTCCAGATTATTAGTTGTCAGTTTCGCTAGAGTTGTGTTGGCCTAGACTCCTAGTCTCTCACCCAGCCTTCCCATCTTCGTTCCAATGAGGTTGTGTCGTGCCCTGTAGATGAGTAATGGGAAGCTCGCCATAAGAACAAGGAAGCAATGGTAACAAAGGACATCGAGAGCGCTATTCTTATTTATTATTAGTGGCCTTGCTTTTGGTTTGCTTGAGTAAGAGATAGATATGCAAGTCCATGTTTGAGGAAGCAGGATCCCCTCTTCTTTTTCTGTAAAGGGGTCCCTTCTTTTTTAAGTGAAGGGGTTTGCAGCATGGAACTTCTAGGTGAAAGCTTCCTTGCATATATACATTGTGCCATCGTGAGATTATTGTCTGTGACATCTGATTTTCAATTTAGAAAAACCTAAGATAACAAATGCCACTGGTCATGAACACAATTTTTGAGGGTTACTCTAAATTTTTATTTGTCAACTTTCTAATGAAGTTACTTACAAGAAAAGGGGAAAAAAATTCCTTTCTAGTGAAGTTTGAAGGGTTACTTAAAAGCTGTACATGTTCATTTGTTATAGGTATATGTTGGCTCAAGAGCATGGTGACCTTATTAATCTCCATGACTGGTATCAATCTTTTAAAGCAACTGTCCTTCCCCCAACAATCAAAGCGAAACAAAGGTTGAAGCACTCACCATCACCGAAGAAAAGAAAAGTCACAAATGAATCTCACAACAAGAGTGAAGCATCAGTTCAGTATCCTCTTGATTTTCTTTTCCAAATACAACTTTCTAACTTCCCACCATTTGATGCAGTCTATTTGGACATATTGCATTTGCACTTTAGTTGGCCAGTAGCAATTAGGGCATTGCAGTGTTTGCGCACAAGTACTTATTTCCTCTTTGCTGTAAACTTAATTGAACCTCGTTTCTGCTATTAAGCTTAATTATGCCTATTAGTTTGCTCCAGCCAATTTAAAATTAGGTTTGGTCTCTTCACCCCATTCTATTCTTCCTATAGATCTTGTAGAGCTCGAAGATACTGTGGTATTCTTCTTCATCGTTGGATTGTTTTCTTGTTTGCCTCGTCATAGGCAAACGCCTCAGTCCAGTTTATCATTTCTTCGTGTATTGGCTATACCTAAATTCTCACAAGTGCTTTTATCAATTTTATCTGTTAAATTTTCACTTGTTAGTTCAACATCCTCATCTCAGCCATGCTTGCTTTTGTGTATATACTTTTCACTTGACTTTTCAACATTTTTACAACAAAGCATGATGATCTTAAAGCTGTCTCATATTCTGTATACTGAGAATGCATTAGTAACCACTATTGATGCACCTTTTGTTTTCATCCATCTCACTCTTATTCTGTGGTAGCATCCTTGTCTCTCACTTCAAATCACAATCTTAATATTAATCTTGGTTTGGCAAAGATTTTCCTCCATCTATTTATTTATTTATTTTTTTTGTTTTTCGTTTTCCCTGGGTCAGTAGTCCCTTCTTTAGCTTAACCAATAAAATTGGTCATTAGCATGCAGCATATTTTAGGAAACTCCTGTACATGCCTAGCCAACTCATTGAATTCATTCCCTGTTTTACTGACACGTCTTTTACTTCTTCTTTTTTTCTTACTTGGTGGTACTCGCACACACATGCCTCCATTGAGGCTTGAACCCCTGACCTTCCTTCGGGAACTAAGAGGCTGACACGTATTTTACTTTTTAAGTAATATCTATTGGAGACTTCATTTTCTCCGAAGTAAAGATAATTTTGATCCTATATTTTTTCTCATGCATAAAGTGAATAAAACCTTGAAAGGTTACTTTCTGTTTCCTTTTCTTTAAGTCCATGTCAAATATTTTCCTAATGTGGTCTTTCCGTCGTGAAGCTAAATTGATTTTAAAATATATGTTTCAATATCTTTTATAATGGTGCAACCATATAAAAAATGCTTCAAGGGCAATAGTAATGTCTTTTTTTTTGAAACAATTTCAACTTGAGTCTTGAGCTGGGAAATGCTAATTTATTTAATCTTTGATTGTATTTGCTGTGGAGCAGTATTATCATTTGCGGACTTGTGGGCTTTGAATATTCTGTTGATTTACCATAATGTGTAGTGTTTTTCCAAATTTAAACCTATGCACTGCAAAAACCCTCTTTCCCAACCGTTGCACCCTAAAATAACTTCATTAGTGAGCCCATTGAGTCAGCTATCGTTCGGAATTCCTTTGCACGGTATTCACCGTGTTACAGACCTGTGTGCATGCTTTTTGATGGATTCATGAAAATCCTTGACCTCATTTTCACAGAGCACAGTTCTGCAGAGCAATTACAGAGCTTCAGATTACAGGGCTGCTTCGGATGCCTAGCAAAAGACGCCCTGACTACGTGCAGAGAGTGGCTTTTGGTTTGTAACATGTTCAGGTGTTGAAGAGGTTTGATCCAATTCGTTTCATTATTCTTTTAACCCTCTTTGTAAATGCAATTGCATGCCTATTGAGTGAAGTATTGAAGAACCATTCATTTATCTACTAAGATTCGATGTGTTCAAAAGGCATCATGAACATAAATGGATCATACGATATGTTCCTTGCTACCATTGAATGGTCATTGAAAGGCATCTTTATTGTGTGTTCACTTTAAATGGTAACTGTAGCGTCATTGTTAGAATAAATGGACCGAATGTCTGTTGCTTAGTCATCCCAAATGAAAAATTGAGGGTTGAAGTTCCTATTTTTTTAAATGCTTATTGTGCTTGCTTTTTTTTTTTTTCTTCAAAAATTTCATTTTTTTTTTACACTTACTTTCTTGTAATTAAATATTTGGGGCTTGAATACTTAACATTTTAAGATGAGAATTAACACACGGCTCCACCTGTTCAAACCTAGCTATTCCATTTGTGCCAGGTGTATTGGAGAAATTTTTATATGGTTTATGTGATGTGATTGGTTGGAATTATGTCACTATTGAATTGTTTAGAACTCTTAACAGGTAACCCATACATGGATAAGAGCTGGGTGTGATTGCTAGATCAAAGAATATATCTTAAAATGGATACAAACAATCTCATGAAATGGATATGCACCTTTTTCTTTTTTCAGTTCAGGTACGGTGAAGTTTATTACATCAACAAGGTTGAGAATTGAGATCAATACACATAGGGTGGGGTTTACAACATCACCAGTTGATCTCCAAATCCAAGTTCTTTGTTATCCATCGTTAAATTAAGATTAAAAAGTCTATCCTATGATCTAGATAAGTTAGTCAACTACTTGATATGAATCGTATACATATATTTATGCAAAATTATACGGAAAAAACGAGATTGAAAGACAAATTTCAATTAAAGTAGGGGGTCGTATACATGCTTGCATTGACTTACAAATTTCCATTTTTTGTTTTTTTTTGTTGGGTAAACCATAGTTTTTCCCTGACACATGATTTGTATATATGGCATACTAATAAGCAACGTTGGTAGACTTCCCTTATGCATAGAAGTACACCAGAAGAAGAAAGAAGACAAAGTTGGATACGAAATATCACAAAAAATTAAATTAAAATAGACCTTTACCATACTTTTAATTTATAATAATAACTAACCACTATTAATGTTGTTTCGTCCTTGGAGAGAGATGGACCCTTAACGGATTCTTCATCACAACAGTAAACTCTTGCTTCTCTGATAGATCAACATCCCCATCATCACCAGCAGTCCATTTGAAATACCAAATCAAATTAGCAACAAAATACTCCAAATGAAGCAAAGCCAAACCGACGCGGGCAAATCCTCCTTCCAGCTCAAATCCTCCTTCCAGCTCCAAATGGCATCATCTTGATTTCTCTGCTCCCAGTTATGTCAAAACAACCAGCTTCTTCTCCTCTGACCACCGCCTCTTTTTCAGCACCACCGCCATTTCCATTAACAGTAGTAGAAGTCAAGAATCTCTCTGGTTTGAACTCCATGGGGTCATCCCATACTTTAGAGTCCCACCCCATCTCGGCCACCATGAAATTGATGGTGGCATTCTTCGGCACCACGAATCCTTCTAACTCAGTCTCCTCCGTCACCGAGTGAGGCAATACGAAGTGCCCCGGCGGGTGACGCCTCAGTCCTTCCTACACCACCGCTTTCAAGTATGGCATCTTCTGCAAATCCTCCTCATTTATCACTGTCAACCCCACCTCCTCATCCGATAGTGGTGGCGGTGGCGGTGGTCCCACGACTCCGGTGACCTCTTCATAAAGCTTGGCCTGAACATCCGGGTACTTCACCAAGCTAGCCATGATCCACTGCAACGCCGTCGACGTCGTGTCAGTGCCCGCGTTGAGAAATTCCCCGTACAGACTCACCACCTCGTCGTCGTTAAGCTTCCTCTTCTCCTCCGGCACTCCAGATCCATCAAAGTGTCGACGTAAGCCACCACACCACCACCGTACTCTTCTTTCCGTTGTTGTTTCTTGAGAGCAACTTCTACTGACCGGGCTCTGATCAGAGGGATCAATACAGCATCCTGATTCTGTCGCAGCCGTATCAGTTCTTTCCACCGATTCCGGAACAAAATTTTTCCGATGGTCGGCCAGAAATTGAGTATGTTAAATCGGCCAAAACTCAGTAAGAGCTCTCGCTGAACTCTTTCAACTTCTTTGATTTGCTTTTCCTCAAGCTTGTCGCCGAAGCACATCAAGACCAGAAGACAGAACATGGCGTACTGAAAATGATCCACCACTATCACGGATTTCGATTCCGATTGCGTTTTGTTGAGGTGGTTAATAAGTATGGCGAGAACCCAGTTTCGCGCCGCCGAGTAATTCTTGACGCGGGAAGGGTGGAGTATCTCGGAAGTGAGGTTACGGCGGAGGGTGCGCCAAGTGGGGCCGTAGGCGGCGGAGCTGACGTTGTGTTGGTTGCTGTTGATGAGCTTGCTGGTGGCCAGCGCCTTGGGGCGGTCGGAGAAGACGGCGCCGTTCTGGACGAGGACTTTGTGGGCGAGCGAGTGGTTGCCGACGAAGATGGCCGGCCGAAACCCTATATGCAGAGTCATGATGGGACCGTACTTTTGACGGAGATCTTTGAGGACGTGTTCGATCTCTGAAAACGACATCCGCAGCCATAGAAAGTTTCCGATGATCGGAAAAGTAAAGGGTCCCGGCGGAAGCTTTTTTTTGTTGTTGGAAGAAGAAGAAGCGAAGAGGAGGTTGAAGAAAGATTTGATCAGTGCTGAGATGCATAGCGAGACGAGGATGATGAACCAGGTCTCCATGATTATTATCTTCAAACGTGTGTGTGTGTGTGTGGTGTTTAATGATTCTGTGTGTATAAATAGAGGAGATCTGACATTCTCTTCGAAATCCAAAATCCAAAAAAAAGAAAAGGGCCGTGAGGCCCACACTGTTGCACAACTAATGGATCCCACAAGCGGGTGAATATAATATAGGGTAAAGTGCACTGTGACCCTATTGCAAGAAACCCTCAAGAAGTAAGCAAAAACTTCCTGGACTATAAATTTGTTGCACTCAGTGACCAATCGTGAAGCCGCTGTTAACGGAAAAATGAAGTTACCTTTTAACCCTTAATTGAACGACATCGTCTTAGTCTTTTTTTTGTTGATCAGATGGGCGCTAAATGTATCCTGTCGCGCCAAAAAGTCTAAAACAAGTGCTTAACAATATGCCAAACAAGTAGAGCAGTCTTGAGTTGACCCCAGTCACCTCTCCTTTCTGTGTAGAGGTTCTCGACCTGTTCGAGTGACTTATTGGGAGCTTGTCTCTCATTCCGTTTCTCTTCTCTTTTTTATTCCTTCCTTCTTTTTGTCTTCTGGTGTGGTGTGGCTTAGTGAGGAGGCCAATTTGGTTGTTCTTTGGTGGTGTTATGATCTTTTGGGGATTTGAGAGTCTTGGTGTCGGTGGTGTACTCCGAACTGCATGTTCCTCCTCATCTGTCGTGACCCGGATTTTTATTCAACCCGGTGGATCAGTTATGAACAGAGGAATGACCAGTGTACGGATCCAGATGCGGAAGCAAATGATAAACCAAGACCTCTAGGGGTATTACATGTCTATAATACACCAATGTGACCCTCAATGAAGTCACATAGCCCTAAGAGAACAAATGCGAAAACCATGTTTCAAGAAGGGGCAAGAATGAGCCTAGGGGCAAAACGGTCTTTTCCAAAATGGAAGTGGGTACTACCAAGCACACCATTGGAAAGACAATGAAAAATTAATGAAAATAGACTCAAGAATCACTTGATTCGGAGTCCGGACGGAAAAGATATGAATTTAGTAAGAAGTGGCATCCTCCGTTTAAGAGTTTCCAAGACCCTATCTAACTAAAACTACAATAACTCTCACTATAGTTAGAGTTTTGATGCACGGTTGGTTCAATTGGAAATCTAACTTCAAGCTCATGAATTTAGGCTCAAGAATCACCCTATTTGGGTTAGAAATGAAGAAGTTATGGCCCTTTGAAGTTGGAAGAGCAGTGCTGAAACTGAACTGAAGCTACTCCTGGGATCTACCTATTTCGGTCGACCGAAATGAATATGCTGAGAGCTAAAATCGTGAAGAAGAGTGCTTGTTGCTTCGGTAGATTGAAGTGATGCATCGGTCGACCGAAATAGGCCATCGGTCGACCGAAATGGCCTTGAACAGTGTAAAAGGCTATTGGAAATGGTGTTTTACTGTGCAAAGAGGTTCCCAACAATCATTGGTCGACCGAAATGATGTTTCGGTCGACCGAAACACCTTGAAAAGCTACTATATTGCTAGGAAAATGATCCTTAGTCCAATTCTAAGGTTGTGCATGCATCCCATACAATCCAAACATACTCAGAAACATTCTCTAGCTTGTAAAGAGCATTTTTAACATGCTAAAACAAAGGGGAACTTAGAACATGAACTAATGCATGAATTTTTGTATAAAACTTTATAATCCATCCATAATTAGTTCAAAAGCCAAAACTTATGAGTTTTGTGAGATGTGAGCATGCACGCAAACGTAAAAAAATGATATGGATGTGCTACAATGGTCTACAGCCTTAATGGCCATCATATGCAAAATTTGACCCTTCAATGGATGAATTTTCATATGATTCATAAACAAACTATAAAAGTGAAGTAGCATACATAGCTTAAAGTATCTTCGGCCCTTGGCCTCATTACAAACACATATAAGGAGTAACAAAAAGTGCACTTAAGTGCACATTACATAGTTTAGACAACTAGTACAAGTTTTCACATATTACACCAAAAAGATCATGATATGCTAACAAGTGCATATCAATGCCACCAAAAAATACTTCAAGACTTCTAGCATGTCTAAGAGTGTTGTGTATCCCACAACAAAGCTTCTTTACCTGCAAAACACCCAGTAACTTCGGGGTAAATAAACAAGTTTAACAAGTTTATTCGTAGGGAATGGGCATGCATATGCTTAATTCATTTACAAGGTTTACAAATCAATATTGTGTAATCCATGCTATTAAAATGACATGAGAACTTTCAGCATAGCACAATAAGATGCAATTTCACAAAGTTATCAACTTGGAAATTAAAATATGAAATCAAGTCAAGTAGATACTTGGATATTGCCCAGATTAAAACCGTATTCTTGAGATCACTTTAGAGCTATTAACTTATGGGTACCTTTCCCATAGTGCGCACTATAATGTATGAGGACAATCCCCCGTACTAGAACCAAATCCTAGCCTAGTCAAGTTCTTGATAATATCCCAAGTTTCCAAAATCAGCAAGTTTGAGCAACAAGTCATGATTTGTATTACAACATAAAAACTCCATGAATTTAATGATTAGAACAATGTAATGGAAATTAATTAAGCTAATTAGTTAACTTCGTCTAGATTTCAAGAATTATTCAAATAATCCCAAA